GTCGGTCGCGGACTTACACACATCAGGTCCTCACTAAGTGACTTTGCTATTTTTTTTTCTTCTCATCTGCTCAAGGGTCTGAATCCTTGCATTGACACTTGACCCTATTGTTCTTCCTGTCTATCTTCTCTTTCGATCCTTCATTTCTTCTATATTCTCATCCCTCCTTCGTTTGGAGCTTTGATTTTCATATTTCTTACTTCGGCCTTTCTTTGCTTGGACCGGACGCCGGCAAAGCCAGGACAGGACCGGCTGGACAGCGTGAATGACACTTCCGCCGGGGACGCTTCGCTGTATCCTACCTACTATGGTGATGTAAATTTGACCTGCAGGTCTTTCTTTCGCCAGCTTTGCAGCAGACATTTAGCAATACATGATTTCAGTCGGTGCACCAGACAAAGAATGCAAGTAGACAGGAGCTCATGGTCTGCTATGTGTCTTTACATATTTTCATAAACCAGCAATGTACCATCGTAGAATAGCAATGAGCTCTAATCCCATGATCTATATTGAGGCTGATCACCTGACCCTTTCGATCTCTCGGTCTTTCCTTCCTATAACTTCATCATTCCCGACATCTATCCAACACCCAGATCTCCCATTATCTCGCATCACGCTCCTGATGTAGACCATTTCATCATCTCTCAACATGTCATTGCTTTGCTTCCTATTGGAACATGCGGCGAAAGGCGATCAAAGCAGAACAGTCGCGCAATAATGAACATTGTTAATGGACCTTTCGTCCAGCGAACAGCTGCCGGGTCACCGTCCGCAGATCAAATCCCGCCCAAGCAACAATCAGCTTAACATAGACCCACCAGATAATCCATAGAAGTTGGTAAAAGGCCCGGTAAGGATAAGCTATCTTCCTGGCGAATATAGTCGAGCAATCATACATCTGCTTGCTGCGGGACGCTAGCTCAAATGCACCGACTTTCCTGGTATTGAACAATCGCAATGTCCTTCTTTCTTCCACGCTCAACTTCGGCATGAGCTGCTCAGTCTTCTCTTCATGGAAGTTGAACGAGGTCCCAAAGATCTTGTACAGACGGCTGATCGCGTCTGATCTGGTATTCCACCCGTTCCTCTTCACCCACTTTAAATGAAACCGCCAGGGTAACCATCGGAGTTGGTAAACTGCCGCTTCTATCTCCCTGAAGGAAATCCGAGCTTTTCTGCCACTTACCGCATGGACGCAGCCTTGAGATTGATAAGCCAGATGAGCCAGAAGGCGATCTACAACGATGTCAACAGGGACTTCATCCAGATTGGAGTCTGATTCCGGGTCGTCCAGCCGGCTGGACAATTCAAAGGAAAACGCTGTATGGTTGACAAACAAGGCCGCGATCATAGTCATCGGGGTCGACGTGGGAATCGCATACCCGGGGTATGGAAGGCTCTCGGCCGGCCCAATCACAGAGGGCCGTAAAATCAGCAATCGGTCGTACTTGCCGTGTTTTGTGAACCTGTCCGTGACTAGACGCTCGGAAAGATGTTTGGCATACCCATAACCCCAGGGAAAGTCGTTGCTTTCGTATTCTTTGGTGGATCCTCGCGACTGCAGTTCCGAGTATTCCTCGTCCACAGTGGAATTACCATTATTGGGAGAGGTAGATTCAAGTGATACTATACGCTCTTCCATATCCACATCTCCTTTGGGAGACAGGCTGCACAGATGGGTATTGGTATACGCTGTTGAGACGTAAACAAAACGTTCCAATTTGTCACATTGGAGCCCCAGTTCGACAGCATACTCTGTGGCCCGGATAACGCTGGGCCACATTTTTTGAAGCCGCTGGGCAAGGTTGATTGAAGATGCGGCATGGATTATGATGTGGGTGTTTCGCTTCAACATCTCAATGTGGTCAGCGCCAAGGCCTAGACTAGGCTTCATCATGTCACCGTCTAGAATGGTGATGCGGGGGTGATCTAGAAGCCATTGCGCAGCATCAAATGGGAGATGTTGGTGCCATTTCCCGGAGAGGCCACTGTTATGGTCAATACGTGTAGGTCTTACACCATCTCTTCTTCCTACTGGAGTTTATGGCTTACCTTCTCCCTCCACGTTGCAGCAAGTATATGTGTTTGAACTCAACGGTTGTAGCGATCCGATGTACTAGGGCTGTGCCTAGGAAGCCCGACCCTCCGGTGATGAATATTGTCTTTCCTTGATAATAGTCGAGCATTTTAGAAATGATGTTCCAAAACCTATCCAGAAAAGAAAGCCTGCACCACGACTTTTCAGGTCTAAACAGGGAGGGCTGACTTTGGGTTTCAACAGGCGTAATTATATACTTCACTTGGTCACACAGCGCCCACAGATCGGCAGAAGGTATATGGAGTCACGTCACCCGCAGTATGCATGATCTATTGCAGGGTGCATAGCTGAACCTGATCGACCCTGATATCACCATAGCCTACTACAGGAGCTGAGATGGGGCTTGGTGTGATCCAGCAAAAGAAAAGAGCACTATTGCATTTGATATTCACCGGTGGGTCTCCAAGGCGATCATGTGAAAGGGAGTCAGCAAGGAGGCTAAGGCCTTTGGGGAACACAAGATTGTAGACGATAGCGATTACTGTTCGTGGGAGTTTCAATCCACCAATTCTTGGATCCAGCGCTAACAATCGATAGTCATACTGCATATCTCCCACTCCGGAAATGTGGCTACAGGTATGGGCGAAGCCCTACTTTGGAAGACTGTGAAAAGCCTGAAGGCCGTGAGTCGCATTCATTGGTCCACTGGTGGCATATAGTATGTCACAGATGTCACAGGCGTTATCGACCGCTTCCTATCAGAGGAGATTCAGCAGCTGCAAACAAACAGGCGAATTCTATCTAATGGTCTTAGTGGGCTGGCAAGATTCAAGGCTCGGTTGACAAGGCTACGAATATTTCTGCACCCTGCTCAAGCATTTATCTACTATTGAGCTGCTAATTCCTTAAAGGGTAATGATATGGTGGTGCTCTTCAGCCGCACGAGATCCATCGCAGTTCAGCTCGGGAGAATATCGTGGGCTGCCAGATCCGAGACCCACTGCTACTAGATCCTATGAGCTAAGTTTTGCGAGAACAATAATCTTGGAAGCCCGAGATCAGCTACATATATTATTGATTTGAGCGCGGCTGACTTTTTTTCAATTGTTTAACTTATAGCATGCTTCTTGCAAGCTGCGATGATTATCCACGTGGGGCAGAGTCGTCCGATTTCTTCATATCTCATCACTCGATGGTTTCCACTGTGGAGTGCTCACTAGTAGGTATGAACTCTTATAAAATTTGCATTTTACGGACTTATCATGAAAATTCAGCCAATGAACAGGTGTGACTCCTATACTGATAGGCCACTATCGGAACAAGTGCCATGGCGGTCCAGCTGAGGAATCTATTCCGCAGTATGGATAGTTAGCTTTACGATCTTTGCTGAACATCAGAGCTCGTGTAGATATCTGGATATGTAAAATCCCCAAAATGGGGACTGGACGAGGCGGATCTACTATTTCCGATGCCCACTTACTCAAGACAGAGGCGAAATCCAGCAAGCACTAGGCTTGCTAGAAGCGATGGCTGAAAGGACGAAGGGCTAATGGCCTGCCACATGATAAATATATCAACTCATTAATTCATCCGAGTAAGTCCTTTACTCACATACAGTAAAGGCTATCCAAAATGACGACCTACCAGTTCCACGACGTCATCAAATCCGTCACCGACATCGACCGACGCAAATGTCGTCGTGAAGTACCTATGCAAGTCCTGGCACTTGGACTGTGTCGGACAGGAACAGACTGTATGGTGTGCATCTAAGATGGACGATGTGTTCTACCGCTAACGAGAAGTAAAGCATTGAGACAAGCTCTCCGAGCCCTAGGGTACAATGACACCTATCACGGATACGCAGCAGTTCTGGAAAACCCTCGAGACTGTGAGATGTGGCATGCTGCTTTGAGCGCCAAATATGAAGGAAATGGCCGGCCATTTGGTCGAGAAGAATTTGATCAGATCTTGGGGCATTGTCAGGTATAGAACCCCGTTGCAATTGAGTAGATGAGAGAGAGTTACATACATACTAAGCCAGATAAACTAACCACTGCTATAGGCTGTATCGGACTTCCCAGCAGCCTGCTTCGCAGACGAATTAATCCAAGCCTACCCAGAAGCCAAAGTAATACTGACAGTCCGAGACGTGGACGATTGGCACAGGTGCGTTCAATTTCCCTCTCATCTCAGTCATGCAAGACACTTTTCTCATACAAAAGCTACAACAGATCCGTCAGTAAATCATTCACCCCCCTCCTCACACACCCCCTCCTCCCCCTCTCCACCATCCTCGAGAACTTCCTCCTCTCCCGAACGCGCTGGGTCCTCCCAACCTGGCAAAAGATCTGGAAATACTACTTCAACGACAACTTCGACGCCAACGGCCGCAAAGCCTTCGAGGCGCATAATAGCCACGTTAAGGAAATTGTGCCAGCTGAGAACCTCCTTGTCTATCATGTCAAGGATGGGTGGGAGCCGCTGTGCGAGTTCCTGGGCAAGAGTGTTCCCTTGGATGGGAATGGACATGTGGTGCCTTTTCCGAGAGGGAATGATCCGGGGATCTTCCGGAATAGGTTCCAGGATGCTATTTGGTATAATTTCTTGGAGTTGGGGGAGAGGGTGCTTAGGGTTATTGTGGTTCTGTATTTTGGGTATTTGTGGGTGGGGTGGGCTTGGGGGTGGATGGTAAGGTCATGATATGTCAAGTTGAGTTTGGTTTTGGTTTGGTTTGTCGGAGATGGAGTTAGTGTATGCAAGGTAGATAATAAGAATCGGTGCAGTGTGATCTGCTCAAACGCCATTGCATCATTTCTCTAGAACAACAATCGTAGTAAGTAGTGTAGTAGTGAGTAAAAATACAATTTATAATCAAAATGAAAAAACACGCAACCCTCGGCATATGTATACACCATCCACAACCCAGGATGTGATATCAATCAATCAAATAAATATGAACATCTTAGTTCTTCTCAACCTCCTGCTGCTGCTGCTGCTGCTCCGTCCTCTCACGGAACTCACCCTCAGCCAGGACCTCCGAACGCAGACCCTTCTGACCAGGCATGACATGATCGCGAGACAATTCCAACTCACCATGTCTAACCCTCTCAGGCCAGTTCTCCGCAAACCTAGCATCATGCAAATCCCTCCAAAGGATCTTAACTCCCATATCCTCCAACGCACCAGACGTATCCTTGGTCTCCTGGACCTTATACTCCACAACCTCACTACTCAACGCCTGCTCCAACCCAGCCACTCTAGCCGCCTGCTCGTTCGCAACCGCCTCCTCCTTAGCGCGAGCAGCACGTCTCCTCTTCCGCGCAGTAGGAGTCAAGTAACCCCTCTTCCCATCCGCAAAGCCATTAGCCACCTCCTCTTCCTGGATCTTCAGCACGGCCGCAATATCCGCCACACTAGTGGCCTTTTGATCCATGACGGCGCGCTTGCGGTGGTGCTTGGGCATGATCCGTCCGATCTTATCCTTGTATTTCTCCAGGAAGTCTTCGGCGCCCTTTGGGTCGCGCGGACGTTTCTGGTCGATCCAGGCGTCCGTGATGGTGATCATTTCTTTGGGTGGGGAGAGTTGTCGCTGCATGCTGAATTCCCGGAGGAGGTGGTATGCTCGTAGCCCGATCTTGCTGTCGTTGAAGTGCACGCTGAAGTAGGGGACCCACATGTCTTTGCGGAGTCGGGCGGGGACGGTCTTTTTGCCGTGGTAGAGGAGTTGTTTCAGGGTGGTGTTGTTCTGGTGGGTGGTGAGGTTAGTGGTGGTTCTTTTTTTTTTTTTTCAATGACTTGGTATGGGGTCGATGGATGGGTTGATAGAATTGATTTAGTGGATGGGAAACTCACCTCCAAATACCGAGTGAGAGAGTACACGACTTGATTCGTGCGAATATTGTGATAGGCAAAGATGTTCTTGCCATGAGTGAGTGCCTTCAAGGCCTTTCGTAACCGAGTTCCCTCCTTGGCCTGATGCGTCTTGAAGGCATTGGAGTTCTGCTCGCGCGGCTTGCCCTGGATAATGCTGTGGTTCTCGACGGGTGGACGGCGCACAATATTCCACGTTCCGATCTTGGTCGGGTCCAGGATCTTCTGGAAGGGCGTCTTCGTCACCTGTTGTGAGGCCATCGCCGCGGCCGGGTTGGTCACCGTACTCCGCGTGACCGGATTCTTCCTCTTTAGATGGTGATGAGGGCCGGGGAGGATCGTGGTTGGGAATAGAGTGGACGGTTGACTGTCGTCGTTCACTCTATTTTACCGAATTGGACCCAGATCCGGAGAGATTGGGGGGTAATTGGTGGGTGTGTGGTTGAGGATGAACTGGGTGAAGCTCCGGGAGAGGAGAAGAGGGAATGAGAGAAGGTCGGCGGATCAATTTTTCGACGGAGATCCCGACCGGGCGAGCGATTCCGCCGGCAACCCAACTACTACTAACTTGCTGGCTTCATTCAACCAGCTCTATGTCAACGGTCAACGATCAACAACGCTAAATTGTTGGAAACCCTTTTTGAATTGAATTTTCTTTCGATTGTATTCGTTGTTGGTGTTTTATCCTTCTGTCATCTGCTTAGGATGACCCGACACATAGGCCCTGCGCAGTGCGACAGCTAAGCTTCCCCCTCCGAGTGTCTGTCTGCGATGGCGCTGCCGGCGACCGCCTGGGGATTCGCGGACAACGACGACGACACTGGCAGGCGCCGTGAAAGGCCTGGCTTGTTTCTTCCGGTACATTACTATTCTATGATCTTTGCGTATACCCATTGACGCATCTCGCTGATGATTTCCGCGCAGAATCGCAAACTTCGCCATCTGCAGGGCGTCTCTGTCCGGAATCTCGTTGTTAGTCCGCCGAGTCGACCGCGCGGGAAGACCATCGACGATGACAACATCCCCAACTCGCTACATACTCCCTTGAAAGCGCTCGCCGAGGATGCAGCGAAACCCTTACATCAGTCGCGCTCCTTCACCGATCTCAAGTCGACCCCCGCCTCCAGCAGCGCAGAAGGCCGTCCCCGGAGAGAACAGCCACCCCCGTTGCGACAATGGCAGAGGAGGAACACGCTACCCTGGAATGGGCCCAATCCGCGCGCGCGTCAGGTGAAGCTGGAGGAGATTACAAGCAGCCGTATGGCCGATACGTGGTTCTCCATTCACTGCGACGGGGTCGACGAGCCGGTTTACGTGAGTGAGGTGGTCGAGCATGCCACCAACCCCAGCTTCCGGTCTTTTGATCTGAATATATGTGGGCCGGCAATCGCTCGTCGGGACCAGGTGACCGTGAAGGTCTGGGCACGTACGGCCGCCATGGAGGAGTACTTGCTGCTGGTGGAATTGCAGCTGTGTCTGCAGTCTTTACAATTCCTGGGGAGGTCGCTGGATAACTTCCATCAGCCGCTCCCACCGAACTCGATCCTGTTTCATTTCGCAGATGGCGTCTACACGAATCTAACAGACCTTCCCCCCGTGGTCGCTTCTATACCTCCCCGCCACCCCCGATCCGCCGATGGTGCCACGTTACCGACGTCGTCGTACGATGCGCTGATGCGATTGGCCAATTTGGATGAGTGTATCCAGGATGCCCTGACGACCCGAGATAAGCTCGAGACGCAAATCAGCTCGATATTAGAAAAGAACCAGCGCGCGCTGACTACGACCAGTAATGCGTCGCGGGCCCGGGATAAGCTTGCGCTGGCCAAGCATGCTGTTGCAGCGGAGCGGAAGCAGCTTCGCACTTTAACGAAGCGGAAGGAAGAATTGATCTCCAGTCTTGCAGCGAGACGAGAGGCCATGGAGCGTGGACGCCAGACGCAAGCCAGGGCGCGCAGTCATCTCCCGGACGCGCAAGAGAAACTGGGCTCGAGCGTGAAGTTGCTGGAACAGAACACGGACGAGGGCCGCGGTCAGATCCGGCGCATGTCGGAGGATCTACTTGCGATTTATCCTATTGAACCCATCCCGGACAAACCGCTGGCTTTCACCATCGCTGGAATGGCCTTGCCCAACTCGAATTTTACGGATGTCGACCGCGATGGGGTTGCGGCGGCGCTGGGATATACCGCACATCTCGTGTATCTGCTGTCGTTCTATCTGTCCATTCCGCTGCCATACCCGATCAGCCCGTATCTGTCACACTCGCTGATTCAGGATCCGGTGTCTGCATCGCTGCCGCAGCGAACCTATCCACTCTACCCGGTGAATGTGCAATACCGGTTTGAGTATGGGGTATTCCTGCTGAATAAGGACATTGAGTTTCTCTTGAATAAGCAAGGGCTGCGCGTGCTCGACATCCGACATACCCTCCCCAACCTGAAGTATCTGCTGTATGTGCTCACGGCGGGCACGACGGATATCCCCGCACGCAAAGCTGGGGGCATCCGGGGCCTTCTACCTGGGCGATTAACACCGAGTCTATCGCGCCGGGGTAGCGAGGCCAGCAGTACTAACGGTGAGGCGGTCTTCCCTCGCAAAGTGGTGGGTTCAGTGATAAGTGCCAACGGGGAAGGGATAGCGCCCGACAAGGGAAAGCGAGCCATGGCGAGTACTAGTTTGGCCGGTGCAGCGCCATCTGTGGCCTGAACGAGCATCTTGTTTTGAACTTGGTTTTTGTTTCTATGTGTGTATGATTTAGCTTTGGGATCACCCTACACATGACATGATCATGCTTGTTGCGATTGATGTGGTTTGGGTCTTGCATTTGTAGGCCATGTTGGGAGTTGAGCGTGTACATGTTTTCTTTTTGATTTTCATCCTCCTTTTTTCCCTTCTTCTTATTCTTCTTATTTTACTTCTTTTCTTTCTTTCTTTTTCTTTTATCCAGCGGTCGAGTGGATTGGGCGGTTCTTCCACTCACCCGCTTATCGGCTTTAATTTATTTGACCGTCGGAGGCGCGCTCAGGCTGTCCGTGTACATAGTGATGATATCTAAACCTACTACACAAGACTCGAATGACAATTTAATTGCAGCGATGGTTATAAGGGTAGGGGATTTTTATCTTCGTATCTCCACTTCTCAGACTGTCTGGAGAGAGTTACTTTAGTATATTGATAGCAATCATCTTCTCTGAGGAGAACCGAGGAAGAATGGAAGAATGGAAGATGCCTGGAGGGGGGAATGGCGGAGAAAGCGACCGGAGCGACCGGGAAAGACCAGGCAAATCTACTCGATTCATCTTAGACCCAGAGTCTATTGCCATTCGCTTTGATAACAGGAACTGGGAGTGGATGCAAGGGCATGGGGGGGAAATGTTTCCCCCAAGGATGAGAGAGAGAGAGAAATTCCTGCGAGAAATCCAATCCAGCAGTGTGAATGAATGAATGAAGAAAGGAAGGAATGAATTTGGTTTGGGAAATTCCCTACCCCGCATTTTGCATTGGCAGTACACCTGACTGACACACAGAAATGAAGCAGAAAGTGAAAGATTGAACAATTCCCTTTGTTGTGGTGGTGGTGGTTGTTTTTTATTTTATTTTATTTTATTTTTTATTATCAATTATTCCCACCCTCCATCATCATCAACCACCACCTGCCACGGATTCACTACTTCCTTTCCCCGTCTTTTACCTTCTCCTCCTCACCACCACCACCATCATCTTCCCACCCCCCTAAAAGTTGCTTGCTACTTTGCTGCCTGGTTATCCGCGGAGAACTTCCGGGCCGGGACGAAACCAGGACCAGCGCCGTTTAGAATCTGGAACTCAGCGACTGGATCTTCGCCCACAAAAAAGCCGTTTCCCCCCACCGCTTTTTGTCGCTTTGCATCGGCAATCCCCTCTGGCCTGAATATCCACTCTCCATCAAACCATGGCGGCGCCTGCGAGTAACGGCCAGCACCACCACGACGCCGCTGCTTCAGCCTCTCAGTCCCTCTATTCCCACGACCCCGGAGCTCCGAAATCGCCCTCCCCCCAGCTCCAGCAGCAGCAGCTCCAGGCCCAACAGCCCCAGCATCGGCGTGGTTACCAGGCTTGCGACCCTTGCCGGAAGCGCAAAGTCAAGTGTGACCTTGGCAGTCAGTTGCCCTCAATTCTTCCCCCCGCTTTATGCTCCCTGATTAATTAACCTTCCCCCCTCCCTTCTCCTCTCCCCGGTTACTTTCCCTTGATGCTTATTCGTCCCCCCGCAGGTGTCGATAATCCCCGTCCCCCGCCCTGCGTACGATGTCGCCGCGAGAGCAAGCGCTGCGAGTTCTCCGCTACTCGGCGGAAGCGCAAGCCTTCCGAAGTGGAGGAGCCCACCGAGGCCGTCCTGCGACGCGATAAGCGGATGATGGTGGGCGAGGTCATCTCGAATAGCGGATCCGTCAGTGATGGAGGCTCATCCTATGCGCCCGAGCGCACCTCTTCCTTCGATAACGGTGCCAGTCTCTCCCGACCAAAATGGACCGAGGAGTCGCCGGCCACGAACAATACGCAGCAGCTCCCGTCGTCTTCGACGCCCAGCCAGCGCTTTCCTTCTAATCCGTCGCCGTCCGGAAATGCGCCGTTCTCCGAACCAAGAAGCACGCGGCTGCCCATGTACTCGGCTGCGGAGCGGAGTCATGCGGCGAGCTTCAGCCTCGAGGGTGGCCAGCCCATGATGAACCGGACGGCCGTTGAGTTGTTGTCGCCGGCCATCAGTAACAGTCATGATGCATTGCACCTGTTATCAGAAGCGGCTGGTCGGACGGAAGATCTCAACCGCCAGAGCCTGGAGAACCGGTATGCTGCGCGCCAGTCGGTTTCATCATTCAATTCGCCCATGTCTCCGCTCACGCAGGCTGGTACGCCTCGGAGTGGAGGCGGGTCGTTCTCTCGACCACCCCGCTCCGGAACAGTGCCTGGCGGTACGTACTATGCTGCGGGCGCATCAGGGTCCGCTGATGCGCGACTTCCCGATGGTCGTGGACCGGCGGATGCTGCAGAAACGGCACAGGACCCTGGGTTCGTGGATGCGGTTAAGGCTTGGTCACGACTACGGTTTGTTCGTGCAGGGTGGTTGTCCGTGGAAGAGTCGATGGCCTATGTAGCATATTATTACGAGCATCTCGCCCCGCTTAGTCCCATTGTCATTCCGGACTTTTCGCATCCGTCCACTCATCGGACGTTGCTTACAGACGAGCCAGTGCTCGCAGTGACTATTCTTACGACAG